AGATAGATAGAGAGATAGATAGATCCTTTTGTTGGATTTTGTTAGACCGTTACAACCCGAGTCCTCGGCAAAGTACTGCATAGCAATCTCATTAAAATAAGCTGCTTCTATTTTCAGCACGTAATCGAGCGAGAGAGCTTGATTCATTTTACTTTGCTCAGATCTGTGCTGGGCTCTGATCATACCACCACATCATACCTTCACTTAGTAGAATACGAATATATGGCAATGTGGAGGTGAAAGCCAGAACTTGACATAGGTTAGATGTGCGTATCTGTGTTCTGAAACTACTCATTAAAACCATAATGACCATTCACCAGGAGGGGAGAATTTCATTAGAAGTACTCCTGTTACTCACCCATTAAAGTGGGAGTAAAATGACTTGTGTCAAAGCTAGTCAAGCAAAAGAGACTCTGTTCAACAGTTCTGGTAAATGTCACACAGCTAATTGTGGTCACTATAAAAGGGCATGTGTGGAGTCTTGACTAAATGCAATTTAATATAAATACTCGAACAACAAATTCCTGTGCAGTTCAGTAATGCTGTTGTGATTGTTGGCCATTTTGTCTTAAAACATTAGCAAAGGCTGCCTTAAGAAGGAAAGGAGTTTTCAAAGCAAATTCAAGTATCTTCATGTGCCATAACACCACAGCTGTAGGCTGCTGGGTGAGTTCTTTTCTATAAACAGTATGAAAACAATCCCAATGTAACTTAAATAAAAGGTAGACTTACTGGTTTTACAATGCACAAAAAAAAAAGTGAAAAAGGACCCAAAAGAGCTCCTAAATTTTATTTACTTTCCACCCCAGTCTTTCAGAGTATTATGTACTGCTTGCTTGTTGAGTTAGTCTTGTTAACACAATGTTCCAGTCCCCCAAGGCAGACCCACCCTTCATTTGTATCCTGTGGTAGTAGCACACATGACCCCACCCCACTCCCATGTGCTGCAGGGCCTGTTGGGGGTGGTTTAACAACTGTTATTTTTAAGAAGAAACCAGAAGATCAAGATAAACTGACTGCTGATCCAGGTGTTTGCTAGATATTCTCAGGCCTGGTATCTACCAATTGAGTGAGCCATTGGTTGCTATGGCACTCTGTTGATTTAATACCACGGGGATGTGTACAGCGTGTGTAAATTTGTGTGTTTGAACGCGTGTTGGGAGCCACCATCTTGTGCATGCTGCTGTCTGCTTTAGGTCTTTGGAGGCTGACAGTAACTCGAGCACAGTGAGTTGTGTCAGCGTTTTCTTTCCTTGAGAGCAACACACTCTGTATTCCCTAATGAAACTGAGCCTCGCTGCTAAGGTTCCACTCATTTTATACAGCTAAACAGGTACACATGATTATTCAGTGCATAGTATATTACATTTCCGTTGTACCAACTTGAGGTAAATATAGGACATTCATCTTCCTGGTGCCCAACATGAGACAGACGTGAGGTGCACTCATTCATCCTAGATGGTTCCTAAATGATTCATCCATGGAACTTAGGCAGCCAGTCATTAATTCATCAGTTCACACTGGAGCCCGGATAGATGTTCACAAAGCACCCGAGGCTGACTATCTCAGGTTTCTCTGTTCAGAGGCGCAGTCTCTCTCTCTCCGCTGTTTAGCCTCCTCTCAGATGTGATAACTGCTGCCTCCATATTGATAGGGCTTCGTTGCCATACCAACAATGCAAGCTGGGAGATTTCTGGTCCAGCCACCAGCCCATTGTTTGGCCAGGAGGTCGTCCATCTCAGACTCAATGTATTGTTGCAAGCTAAGTGTGACACAGCACAATTTATCCCACGCACTGTAGTCCCAGGGAATCTAGCACACTTCACCCTGTGGCCTTGCTTATCAGCTTCCTGACTATAGTGTGACACTGACTGTGCACAGGCGACGATGTCAGAATACTGTTTAGTGTTGGCATGTAGCTCGCACTGCCTTTTCCATCTGCGTGCAGGGGAGACCAAGGGAAAAAAAGTATATTCATGTAGACATATTTCACTCGCTCTCTACACTGCAGAGGATCATTTATTGTAGTAATTCTAACTTGTGCAACATGCCAACATATTTAGAAATTAATTTTAATGTAAAGATAAGTGCAGATGGAGCAAGATGCAGTGTCATATCTATCTAAGCAGTTTGAGACATATTTTGTTTATAATTTATGGAATATAATAGCAAACCAAGTTAAAGGGCAGCAATTTTGTATTCCATAGAGAAGAAAACACAAGAAACAGATGGTCAAATAATATATTGTGATTTTTAAATCTTAATCTGGTCACTCCAAAAAGTGTCTTTTAATGAGACCATCCCGGCCTATTGTAGACCTATGAAGGTCTAATGAAAAAAAAACCTTTTCCAGTTTGTAACACAGGCTTTCTGTTAAAAAGATCAAGACCAAACTAACATAACATGTGAAATCATCAGAGTAATTTTTTACTTTGGAAAGCTGCACCAGAGCCGCAGAAGATATTACACACATGTTTGCACAGGCTGTGTATCGTAATGATGATGAAACTCAACTTTATCTCTGGAGTCACACATCAAAACATAATATAAATGCATCTGTTGTTCCTCATTAGGTTGTCTGGGGGACATACTGTTCTTGTGTGCTTCCTGTAATACAAGAGAAAGGATCATAACAGGAAGTTAAGATACTTTACATTCATATTTCATTTCAAATTAAAGTCTGAGACATCAAATACTCTACCCAACTTTTCACTTAAGCTTGAAAAGCACGTGTAGCTTAAGTCAAATAACTCAACTCAACCCTATTAAAATTCTAATACTTGCACCTGCTCCCACCACCTGCCTTTACAGCAATAAAAAGAGAGATGTCACCATCCAGTGGTCATTTAGTATTACTGCACACTTTGAAAGATGACTTGTTAAAAGCTGTGGCAGAATGTGCAAGGCCACTTTACATTGAACTGCAGAGGTGCTGATATTACAGGAGCTGTATGATCTGTCAGGACATGACATGTAGCCATCCTTCTTACCTGTCACACTGTAGTAACTGAAAACAAATAAAATGAGGGCCACGATTTGTGTGTCCAATTCCCATATATGGCCGGTGCCAATGCACCTCAGTGTACTTAACTTGACTCAAGAAGGACTTAAAGCTCCAAAACAGCAGTTGGACGTCTAACTTTCAAATCAGAGCACTGTCTAAATGTTTAGTGAGGCAATGTACACTGTTGGGACAAGTCATAAAAACTGACACCCTGAACACACCCCATGCATTGCGTACAATCCAGAGCCGCTGACGTAAATGTTTAGGTCTTTCAATAGGGAGGATATTTCCAGTCCTTGAAACTTTAAACACAGCCCGTATTTCACTGTCAGAAAGGAGGCGGCAAGTCAAACAAGAGTAGGGTGTCTCTTAACTTGTGTGTATACCTGAGACGACGAGGCCTTCTCTGCTAACCTGCTCAGAGCTCGTTGAATGCCTTACCACTTAAAGTTTTGTCCTCTTGTATTACAGTAATTCTGCATTTTCTTTCTGCACCACGCGAGTCCTTGTCGTGCTGTTTATGTCATAATTTTGTACTACTTCAA